TTTTTTTGCTTCCTTTAATTAAAATAGAAAGTTGAGTGAATAGATTTGAGGCAAGGACAAATTTGAGCTCTCAAGTTAGACTAATGGGCCTCCAATGCCCAAATATATATGGTTTTCAACAGAGCGTTGCTTAAAAAAAAAACAAATTGTAATACGTGTCCAACACATTTCGTTATTATTTTTGTTTCACTGGAATAATATTGATCATAAAGATTCGGAAAGATTACAAGTTACAGCACACATGAAAGAAGAGAAGATTAAACCACAGAAAGTACAATGATCTTTCCTTAACCTACAACTAGAAGAGGAAGGAAGTTTGATGAAACATTGCTAAAACTAATTAAAACATCTTGTTCCAAAACTTTCGAATTTCACCGCAAGGACTTCCCGCACAACAATCTGTGAAAACGTGCTTCAACATTTGTGACAATAACAAGAGAGTGAAACATGGCCAACTCCACATAAGATACAACTTTTTCATGAGAGCAAACGTTCTCTCGAATGAACTAGACGAAAACCGCTAAAACCTTTCAACACCACAACGATCAGTAATAAACCAACTATCACTGAATACTAGAGAGATAACACACCAGAAAATACCAAAACTCAACCCCAAACTAACACCTATTTAAGTAGTCGAGGAAGAGTAGTGTAGCCCAAACGAGGGAAGCGAAAGCCCAAACGAGGGAAGCGACAACCCAAACAAGGGAAACGACAACCCAAACAAGGGAAACAACTAAATTTAAGCATCTGATATTACCAAATATGACAAGGATACAAAGGAGGAAGAGAGTAGAGACGAGGGAGATACTGTTTAACAAGGCCACAATCAAATGTTGCACAGATTCGCCGAGGGAAGATGAAAAACCAAGCCGTCGCGAGAAAAAACTCAACAAAGAGAGCCATCGAGCAGATATGAAACTAGTTGTGACTCCACTCCGAGATCCGTAAGAGAGAACTGCGATTCAGGCACACTGTCGTCCACTGAAACCGACAGATCCGAAATCCAGGCCAAATCTCATCAGATCTAAGTCTCCGAAACCCACCACTCCTAATCGTCAATACCTACACGCTTCCACAACCGAAGAAGACAAAGACAAGAGATGAAAAACTAAACATAAAAACGAGAGACGTGACCGACGCTGGCGCTAACTGAGCTGCCATGCGCCGATCGGAAGCTTGACGACGACTGTGTTTAAGAGAAGGAGGCGAGAGAGAAAATCGCTTTTATCTTATCGCCCTTTGATCAAGTTTCTATTGCCCAACACTTTTAGTTACAAAACCATACAAAATAGTCTAATTAGAAAACTAACAGTGAAAATCCAAAAATCCAAAATCATTGTACATATAACATATGTGTATA